TGGGGAGGACCCGACGGCGGTGCTCTGTGGGAAGGAGCTGAGGATGGGTCCTGGCAGGGTGACGACGACGGTGGAGGGCTGGATGACGACGCGTGAGTCCTCGCACTGCCTGACGCAGGGCTCGTTGCAGCTGTTAGCCAGCGGGGTGGGTCCGCAGGGGCGGCAGAGGTCGTAGCAGGCCATGTGTGTGGTGTGGAGGGTGCCTGGAAGAGAGGGTGTTGAGGAAGCGTCGGGGCGTGGTGTGTGGAGGAGCGTTGTTGGAGGGGGTCAGGGGAGTGGGGAGGCGTGGTGTGGGTGTGTGTGGAGCGTGGGGTTGTGGAGGGGTGAGGGCTGTTGAGGGTGTGGGCAGAGGGTGGTGGAAGAGAGGGTGCAGGTGGGGGAGGAGGAGGAGGAGGAGGAGGGTGAGGGTGTTGAGGCTCACCTTGTTGGGGTGGGAGGAGAAGGCGTCAGGAGAAGTGTGTGAGGGCGAGAGGCGCTGGGCCGTCTTTTATGCTGGTCCCTGTGGGGCGGGACGGCCTTTGCGCATGCGGGCGTTTTGCAGGGAGCGTCTGTTGCGTGCCAGAGCCTGGGGGGTAATGAGGTGGGGGGGGTTGTCCTTCCCGCAATTCTGCAATGTCATGTCTTCCTCTTGAGGTCGTGTCCAGCTGGCCCTGGCGGCAGCTTTTAAGTGAGAGTGTTAGAGGCCAAATTCTTGGTGTTGATGGCGTGTGTCACGGCGGGCAGAAGATGCGGTCAAAATGATGAAGTGGTGTGTTGTCAGTGATGTCATACTGTGGGAGTCGTGTGGTGTGGTTTGCGGGTGTGTTTTGAAGAGGGGGCCCCATTGTCTCTGAGCCCTGGAAGGCTGGTCAAGGCTGTGAAGGTGTTTAGACTCCGTCCACTGCATCGCGTTGCATTAATCTCTGTTTTGCTGCCATCTCACTAAACCTGTTTTTAGGCCTGGCCTTGTCTGTGGGGTGTGCTCTGTGTGCATCTTGGTGCCCCTCTGGCTTGCAAGGTTGTAGCTGGGTCTAAAGTGGCTGCCTGTTTGGGCTTCTACCCAGTGGTGCCATCCCTGGTGCATCCCTGCCATCCAGCAGAGGAGGGCTGATTGCGAGAGGCCGAGAGCTGGTCGTTGTCCTGGCAGCCCTGGTTGAGAGCTCACAAGCCCTGGGATGTGGGCAGCCCTGCCAGGCTCCCCGAAGGCTTGTGATGGTCCCTCCATAGCGCTGTCCTTAGCTGGGGCTGACAGAGTTGTGGCCTCGTATCCTGCGTGACGCGATGCTTAGGCTGTGGCGTGACACATCCAAAGAAGGGCAATGAAGCTGGTGAAGGATCTGGAGAACAAGAGTGGTGAGGAGCACTTGAGGGATCTGGGGGTGTTTAGTTGTAGAAAGAGAAGGCTGAGGGGAGACCTTATGGCTCTGTACAAGTCCAAGAAAGGAGGTTGTCGGAGGGGGGAGTCTGAGTCATGGTAACAAGTGATGGGAGCAGAGGAAACAGCGCCAAGTCTCACTGGGGAGGTTGAGATTGGATGTAGGGAGAAATGCTGTCATGGGAAGGGTTGCCAAGTAGTGGAAGAGGCTGCCCAGGGCAGTGGTTGAGTCAGCATCCCGGGAGGTAATGAAAAGGTGAGTAGGCATGGCGCTTAGGGCCAGGGTTTAGTTTTGGCCTTGGTAGCGTTAGGTTAACAGTTGGAGTTGATGAAGTGAAGGGTGTTTTCCATCCTCCATGATGCTGTGATTGTAGCTGGGTCAGCCTACAAGGGCAGGTGAGTTTGTGGAGAGGGGGCGAGTGTGGGGAGAGGCATAGGGGGAGTGGGAGCGGCAGTCAGGGGAGGCTGGTGATCCAGGGCCTTTGGGGTCTTTAGTTGGGGTGAGTGCCCGGGGTGAGGCCACTTCCCGGCGTGGTGTTTGTTGGGCAGAAAGAGGACTTAGAGATCACATAGGCATGGGACATGAGTGTTCTGCCCATGGTTCCCTGCGGCTGTATAGCCAAGGCCCTGGCATTACTGGATTCATGCCGAAGGGTGGATGAATGGCAAGACCTGCCCCAATTGAGCTGAGGTGATTTCTTTGCAGGCTGATTGTCAGGTGAGCTGTGCTTGTTGCTGAGGCAGATGAAATGAGGTAATTATGGAGTGCTGTGGGACTGGGTATATGCAAGCCCCTGGAGCGTGACGACTTGCATCTGGGACTGTTTAGGGAGCTGGCTGATGTCCTTGGGAGGCCGCTCTCCACGTGCTTGGAAAGGTCATGGTGCCTGGTGGTAGCTCTTGAAGACTGGAAGGAAGCTCAGAGGCGTCTATCTTGAAGAAGATGAAGAGGGAGGGTCTGGGAAAGGAGAGGGTGGTGAGCCTGACCTCGTTGCCAGGGAAGGTGATAGAGGAAGTTGTCCCATAAAGCACTGCCAAGCCCAGGAAGGCCAAGGAGGTGATGGGGTGTGGTCAGCATGGATTTACAAAGGGGAAATCATGCTTGACTGAGGTCCAGGTTGAAGTGACTGGGTATTGTAGGTGGGGAGAGCGGTGGCTGTTGTTGAGGTGTTCTTGACGGAAGCCTTTGTCCATGTCTGCCAATCCATGCTCCTGGACAAGCTGGTGTGGTGGTTTGACCCTGGCTGGATGCCAGGGGCCCACCAAAGCCGCTCTATCACTCCCCTCTAACCAAACAGAGGAGAGAAAAGTAAATCAAAAGGCTCGTGGGTCGAGATAAGGACAGGGAGAGATCATTTTATCAGTTACCATCACAGGCAAAACAGACTCAACTTGAAAATAATTAATTTATTATCAATCAAAATCAGAGAAGGAGAGGAGAAAAACTGCTAGATCTTAAAAACCTTCCCCCCACCCCTCCCTTCTTTCTGGGCTCAACTTCGCTCCCAGTTTCTATACGTACTCCCCCCAGCAGCGCAGGGGGATGGGAATGGGGGTTGAGGTCAGTTCATCACATGTTGTCTCTGCCGCTTCTTCATCCTAGGGAGAGGACTCTTCCCCTGCTCATGCGTGGGGTCCCTCTCACGGGAGACAGTCCTCCACGAACTTCTCCAACGTGAGTCCTTCCCATGG